AAACGGATGTTCTTCCACGCCAACAGGGTTGGAAGCTAGGGGGTGTTCGGCTCCAACAGCTTCGACGCCTCTCGCTCCCGAGGCCCCCGAGGCGGAGGGCCTATCTTCAGCACCCTGTTCTCCTTCTTGATGGCCTTAAAACGGGCACGTCCCACTACAGGAGGAACATGTAAAGATAGTAACAGAACTAGTCGGTGGACGATTTTTTCGACGATGTTTTACCTTTTTTGAGTATTGTTGGACTCTTCTTTATTTTTCGCCCCCAATCCGCCTGTACGAGGACACGCCCGAGGTAATGATGGCCGTAACCATTGCAGCCACGAGGTCGCTGCATTGGGGCGGACGCAGATCGTGGTCCTCAGCACATCCCCGCGTGCTCCTCCTTGCGTGTGTCATTCATGCGGCAGCGGCGAAGAGTCGGCCAGCCCCGAAAGCTCGCACTTCAGCACCGCCGTCTGCCAGAAGCCTTTGACCCGCTCTTTGTGGTGATCCGCAGGGCCCCTTACCCCGTGCGCGGCCTGGATCATGGCAGCGGGCTTGTGCAACAGCGGGGGCCCCAAAATGTCGTGCCGGCGCCCGCCCTTCCGCCCTTCAGCTGCTTCGCCTGATGGTGGCAGTCCTGGCCCCGCGCTCTGCATCGCCTTCGCGATGCTCGAAGTCCCTGGGAAGAGGAGCGTGTGGTACACTGCCGCGATCAGGTCGCGAAGCTCTGCGCCCTCGGCAAGTGCGAGGGCCGCGGGCACCTTGATCGTCCTCTCTAGCAGCTGCTGGCTGCTGCCACCTCCTCCTCCGATCTGTGCCAGGAGCCTCTTGCAACTGCCAGCGTCGTCTCCCTCGGCCCCCCTCTTCTGGGCCCACTTCGGGCTCCCGAGCACGGACATGGGGCGGAGCGTGAGAGACAACGGGGGAGTTCAGATCGGGAAGGTCTCGAGCCGAACACGGGCAGTCGAACGTGGACGGTTGCACCGCTGGCCCCAAGAATCTCACCCGCGAGATACGAAAAGTCCTAGCTCGCTTAGCAATAGCATGACGATGCGCAGCTGGACGGCTCGAAACAAGTCCGAGCAGCCCGAGCATTTGTTCGTTCATCAGAACAGATGCATCGACACATGTGTGTATACATAGATCCTTTTATGTTGTGAACTCTCTGCAGGTGTGTAGATGAGTGGCGACTCGAAGCAAACGCCTACGAGCAGGGCACATCATCCCTCGTGAAAAAACAGCGCGACAAGCCATCTCCTCCACCCCGTCGCACATGCCGCCCCCCCGTCGTCAGCTGGTTTCAGAACGGCTCGAGCTCGACGTAAGCCCACGTCCACCTTCAAGACAGCCTGCCTCACGTCAGCTTCACACTACAAGTTCATACCATATTACCCCGTCTCCGTAAGCAACCGCTCACCATCCTCCACCGTCTGCAAGGCCTTCATGGCCTCGAGCACCCGCAATTCCCAGGGATTCGACGACGCCGCCAGACTACCCTCCACCGTCATGGTCGCCTCATTCCCCCGCCCCATGGTCCCGAAGTGGTCGGCCAACCACTGCCAACGCCGAAGAGGAAGCCGAGCAATCCACTGCAGACGCTTTAATCGATGAGCACGAAGTTCGACCCACAATGAGCACCGCCTCCCATGTGTTTTATCACAGCCTGCTTTGTCTACGACCTACGGACGCCGTCTTCCTCCGCGTGCGCCAAGCCTCTCAAAGCTCTGCGTGCCAGCTGGTCTAGAAGATTCTGCAGGAGTGCGAGCGCGCGACCCAGTGGGACCCAGGGCCCACAGGAACAGGGCGGAGCAGCTAAACTGGTACCTGTGTATTCTGCGCACAAGTCTCATCTGCCAACGCTTCCGTTAAAACATCCGAAGCCTTGGACACACGCGCTGGCAGCCTTTTTTCCCCCGCTTTCCCAGATGGGGGAGCTGCATATCGTCAGCATATTGGTATAGCGTGAAATCAATCGGATCGGGGTCACAGGGGCTTGTCGCCACCAGACGCGCATCCGTCACTCCCATAGTGGCCATGACTGTGCGTCACCTTTTCACGCTATGTTGGAAGGCCCCCACCCATGCCGCCACCATAAACGGGTCCCCCACCATCCTTCCGCATCCAGGCTGCGAAAGAATTGACCCGAGTTCGCGCGAAACAGAAATGGTGGCTCGTTCCACTTTCTAAAGCGCCATCGGCACCCCTCCCCAGTCGAACAATGCAGCGATTGCTTATTTAAGATAGCGCCAGGCTATACTAACGCAGTAGTCGCATCATAATTCTGCCTGCGCAAGGACCTACCTTCGTGATTCGCTCGTCACGCCATGATCGGGATTGAAGACACCAGCATGGGAGTTTCTTGACACCTCCTCGGCTGGTAGCCAGCCAGGCACGTCTGGAGCTACATATCTCCCTTATGCATTAAAGCCGAAAGCCACACTTCCCCGAACGACGGCAACATGTGCATCTAGAGCTTGCCAGCAGGTCCCTCGGCCTCGGAGTTACGGAGACCACTTGCTTGCTGACATTGCCAAAATTGCGGAGCACCCCGTGCTGTTTGGATTGCTCAACTTTTTGATACACGCAGCGCTCGCGAGCAGCAGCGACGAGCGAGCGGGGGTCTGGGGCCTCCACACACCCCCAGCCTGCTTCTTCGCAGGTGTCCCACCTCTTGGCTTCGACGCCACGTCCCAAAGCTCCATGGGGAGACCAACCCCATACGGTTTCCCTTTCTCGCCACCTTGAGTTGTGCAAGAGGAGCCAGGCGCAGGCATCGCCTGCGCGCCGCTGCCTTAGCGCAGGCTCCGCGGGCGTGGGGTCTCACCCGCGCACGCACTGCAGGCGCGTCAGAGGATAGGGCGTGGGCCTCGCTTGCGCATCTCGACGCGACCGCGGGCACCGCAGGCACTGTTCTCCTTAAGGCGCAGGCATGCCACCCCGCTCCAGTGATGAAGTTATCGAAAAGGAGAACAGGGGGAGGGGGGCGAGGAATGGGCGGCGGGAAAGGGAGAGGGAGGCCTCGCGCATACCTGGCATTGTATCGAATGCCTTGCCCCCGAAGGAGCTGCGCCGCCCCTCGCGGGAAGGTTCGTTGGTGCGTGGGCAGCGCCGGTGACGGGGAAACGCCGCGCGGGCTGCGCCCTGGGGGGATTTTAGCGCGCCCCTCGTCACGCCGCTGAAGACGTCCTCGCCTGTTGCGTTGTGCTCCGTCGACGCGAGACTTGATGGGTCCTGCGCGTTTGACCATGAGTTAACTTAGCATGCGGCCATGCGAGATAGCGTTTGCGGGCATCCCATGTTAGTGTAATGTGCTTGTGCGTAACGTCCAGCTCACCATCCTGCGACAATCCCGCACCTGATAAAGTGTGTTAGGATCCGCCAGCACGCCCTTGCATGACCTGCGTTGGGGTAGCATGCGTACATGTGTAATATGTTTATACGTCATGTGAATCACGATACAGTAATCGTTCACATGTTCATACAGCACATGATCTTACAACATGATTCGCCACGAACTGTTTGTAGAATGCAGACCAGCCGTCTCAAAAATATCATTGGTAAGCACCTGTAGGGATCACACGCCTCTCGGGCTCAGTTGCCCACACACGCTGCGTATCTTCCGCAGCTGGCTCATTAGTGTCCAGCGTCGTGACCGTTGTACACAATTGAAGCAAGTTGTCCCGCCCCCCCAGCCCCGTCGCCGCCATCCCTCCAGGAGGTAACGGCTCCGCACAGAATGCCAGCTTCTCCTCACGCGGGCAAAGAAATGCGCAATTTCAGCTTCTGTTTTCTCTTATAACCTGTTCGAACACTGGCTGCTGCACGAGCGCGAAAGTCTCTTGAAGCTTCTATGTGTTTTATCCGCTGCTGAAAGGCGGTGTTAGCAAGACCTTCGGGCTCTCGAGTGACCTGGCGCAGCTCGTTCCGCAAACCGTCAAACGCATCCGACGGTGCCCCCTCGGAGGCCACCCGAAGCTTTGGGCGACGCGGCCGCAGGAGGGAATGGGTCCTCTCCGAACATCTTCCGCCAAGCGCACTTTGAGACGATATTGAAAACAGCGGGGACGATATTGAAAACAGCGGGGACGATATTGAAAACAGCGGGAATGGGTCCTCTCCAAACATCTTCCGCCAAGCGCACTCGGGGACGATTTTGAAAACAGCGGGGGCCCGCAGTCTTGAGCAGCGCCCGCTCCAGAGATGCAGCCAGGCGGCCACAGGAAGGCTGAGGCGCCAAAGGCGTCCACTCCTCCCGTGTCTCTTCCCCTCCTTCCCTCCCCCCCGTCAAAAGAAAGCCCCGCAGCCTCGTTCGCCCCCTTCGGGCCGCCATCCTCGCGTCGGGACGGAGCCTGCGCGCCCCCACCGACGGGAGCGCGTGCCCAGGCCGCGACCACCCCCCGAGCGCACGACGGCCACGTGGCCTCCAGGCGTTTTTGTGCCGGCACGCGTGCGCTGCAGCGCGCGCCCCTGGTCCGCAAGGGGGGGCCTGCTGCGCGGCCGGCCCGGGCCACTGCCGAGGGAAGGCGCACGCAGTTCCTCCTCGTCCCCCTCGTTCCTCCTCGTTCCTCCTCGTCCCCCTCGCCTTCTCCTCGTCCTGTTCCGCCTCTGCCTCCTCTCCCTCACCTGTCGGAATCGATGCGCGCGTGTGCGGCGGCCTTCGCGTTTCGCACTCTCGCCGCCGTCGCCAGCAGCGCGCGGTAGCACTGGAGCTCTTCGTCAGTGCTTGAGTCGTGCGCAACCCCATAGACAAGGTGGCAGATCGCACCCAGTGGGCGTAGTAGGGAGCGAGTGGGCCTCGACCGTCGCACGGAGGGCGGCTCCCACGAAGTGTTCCGCACGGGCACCCGCGAGTGCGGCAACCTCTGCATCGACGCCCTCGCAACGCGTGATCTTCTGAGGACCTAAGGCGTCGTTGAGGCTTCCGTAGCCATTTTGGCTCAAGCCGCTTTTCGTGCTCGTGGCGCCAAGGGGCTCTGAAGGCATCCGGTGCGAGGCTTCCCCAAAGGACTCTTGCAGCCATGGGAGGCGATGGAGACGCGCTCGACAACAACGCCATCATTGTCACCGACGCGTGCTGCTGCATGTACGACGGCTGCCTCTTCGGGGATGGGTGCATCGGGTGCATGGCGAGCGAGACGATGTGCTGCCTCGAGATGGAGTTCTGCTGCAAGCAGGGTGCAGAGTCGCTCTGCTGCGTCTGCTGCGCGATCCGCTGCGTTTCGCCTACCGTGTGCATCAAGTCGCAGGGCCAGATGTGCTGTCTTGCCGGCGCGGCCGCCATCCCGTGCGACGAGGAGGTGCCTTGCATGGTCGGCACGTGCGGCATCATCTGCTATCCCACGATCGCCATTTGCAAGACGCTGGGCGACATCACGGGGAATTCAGGTGGGGATGCCCCCCCGGCTGAGCAGGTGGGCTAAAGGCTCCCCTGTCTCCGTCTCATGCTGGCGAAGTTACCAGCGTGGCCGCAAAGTCGAGCCGGGCTCTCGTTTCGAATCGGGCCGTCGCGCAGCAGCAGGTTGGATGCAATAGTTGGGTTTGCGCAAAGCCAGACAGTGAGGATAGAAAAAAAAGACGTCGTTGAGGCTTCACATTGCCAGAGGCACCGACCTCGAAGGACACGAAGCTAGTTCTCGAGGAAATCGCTGCAGCAGATCGCGGACTGTCCTCCCTCTCATACGGTCCCCGCTTGCTCGTCTCAATCGTTCTCTGTGGGGGATGCAATGCCAAGACCATGCAACCCTCGCTTCTCGTACGCACACGGACAGCCGGGCTCCAAGCATCCGTGTACATCCCCCGCGCACAGCACGAACGTGTTCACCCCGAAATATTCGATGCAGCATTGCAGAAACGCTACATGACTTATCGAATGAGGTCCTCGTTGCCACCCTGCCTCAATCGACAACCTTCCATGCTCACGTCTGCGCTGCACCTAGAACTCCTGAAGCTTCCAGTGAGCTCCGGCCACAGCTACACTATCAGTATCATGAAGCGCTTGGCACACATCCGCTAAGCGATCGCGTGTACACGCAAATTGCCGCAAGCGTTTTTGTCCACACAGCTTCCATGACTGACCAATTGTGCTTTGATGGGTACGCAAGGGCAGCATGAACAACAGGAGAAACGTAAAGCGTTGCGTTGCGCCCGCCACATCTCATGTCGTCACCAGTTAGCTTGTGGTTCGATTCAGGGGGACCTGAGAGGCATGAAGCGAAGTCTGCCCCGAAACTGAAGACACAACGGTGGCTGGAGGAAGGAAGACCATCAGGAGGAGACGGACGAGGGAGTAGACAGAAAAGCCGGCGAGGAGGAACCGCAGAGAAGGAAACGCGGAGGAGGAGGAGGTGGAGAAAGAGAAGGGCCAGAAGAAACCCAAGATGCATCAACGATGTTGCAATACACCCTCCCGACTCAAATACCTCATCGAGCTCGAGTAACAATAACAAATCCGGCAAACTCGAGCCTTGGCACGAATGTGTGAGGCGATCTACACATTAGCTATGCAGCAGATGGAAGCTCATGGGTACAAGGAGTTGGTGGTTCTGCAGTGACGGCACACATTGAACTTGGCACGAGAACATGTTACGTCTGACAGACAAATTGAGCAATGCAGCGTTGCAGTGAGATCCGAATCTACAGGCGCAGCCAGCACGAATATCAACGAGCAGACACAAGCGGAGTGGACCGACGATCTCACCGCGGCAGTGCTGAAACACAGTTGTGATGGAAGTGACTGAGTATGAGAGTTGCATAACATGCATCGGAGTGGAAACGAGTTGGACAACTATACACAGGCGCCCCGGCGCACACTCCCGGCCCCGCGCGCGGCCGCCCTCTTTTCGGGCGTATTGGGAGCTGTCTGTTTGTCTGTCTGTCCCGAGTCCATTCCGCTCATGTCCTTGCAAGCCTTTCTTTCTCTTCCCTGCCAGAAGCCCCCCGTTGCAAGACCTGCACCACACATACTTCATAACAGCCAAGCACGCTCAAACCCTCTATCCGACAGGGACGACGCCGACGACGACGACGACGACGACAACGGCGACGACGACGACGACGACGACGACGGCGACGACGACGACGACGACGACGACGACGACGACGATGACGACGACGACGACGACGACTACGGCGGCGGCGGCGGCGGCGACGATCACGACGGCGGCGGCGGCGGCGACAGCCACGCGGTCGCCAGGCGCACTCGCGGCTCGCGCAGGGGCCGCCGCTGCGGGGCCTGGCGGCCCCGCCGGTGGCGGTGCGCACCTCCGCCGCCTCGGCGACGCACCGCGGGCGCGCCGCCGGTGGCGCCTGGGCGGGGACAGCCACCGCGGGCAGTCGTCGTCGTTATCGAGGTGGTTGTCGCCGACGCTGTCATGGTTGCCGTCGTGGTCTTCGTTGTGGTCGTCGTCAGCTTCGTGGTGGTGGTGGTGGTCGTCGTCATGGTCGTCGGTGTGGTCGTCGTTGTGGTCGCCGTTGTTGTCGTCGTGGTCGTGCTTGGTGTCATAGTCGTCATTGTTGTTG